TGCACTTTCAACTGTAAGAGAGAAGTTTGGAATCAAACTTTAGAAATGAACAAACAGTCCCAGGGAGTCTCAGAGTTGGTACTTAGTTTCAGGTTTTTGATTTCCAGGATGTCTTGAAATCTAGTCCTTGTTCTGACAGCAGGTGACTTAAATATCTAAGCTGGTTTTGAGCAAACTGCAATTTTTCTTTGGGCACCTGATGTCTCTTTAAAGCCATAAGTTTTCACAGGTGTATGCTGGTGTCATGCAAAGAACCTTGAGAAGGGGAGCAGAGAATGAAATTATGTCATAGTATAACAAAGGAGAGCCTGCAGAAAACTTACTGTCATGTAGTATAACATTTAAGGTTGTCACATAAAGAATGGACCCTGTGTGGAACCCTGAGGCGTTACTCAACAGGTGTATTGCCATTCCTCCCAACTGAAGGTAAAAAGTACTGGCTATCCTTATCAACTGGACTATTTTCAAAAGGACTGCATGGGTGTTTCAGGGAACAATCAGTTTCCAGTGGAAATCGACATCACTAGTGGATGAACGTTGGGAACAAAAGATAAAGACAGATAGCAATGTTATTTTTTGCTCAGGGGTCCTCATCAAACTTCCATCCTCAGCCTTTGGGTTTTCTCTCAGGTACAATAGGGGTCATACAGGGACTAGTATCCCCTTCCCTTGCCAGGACTCTCCTTCCCAGGAACCTCCTATCCCCCAGGACCTCCACCCCATGCTCTCCAGCCCCTACCCGCCATGGCTGCCATGGTCCGAAGTCCTGGCCTTCGATGCAGCTGTGGCCCAAGATGGCTTGAGCGTGACCATTGATCTAGGGCCTAACCTTGTATTCCTCTATTATGTGCTTGGTGCACTGTTGGGTTTCCTTATTTATGGGGCAATGATTAATTCAGGGCAGAGATTTTGACGGATCTATTTGAAGCTTGATGAGTGATGCACTGTGGATTGTGCCAATATCAGTTGAACATTTTCCTCAGAAGAAGGTTGGTAGCTCATCGAATAGGACTGATCATTTGATCAGTACCACTAACCTCAGCTAAAGTGCCATCAGAGACAGAGCATAGACAACACGTTGAAATGTCATTTATCTCCCCTTGTTTCCAAATGTGGTTACTACTGTCAAATTCTAGATTTTCCTTCCCCCTTTTTGGTAAAAAGAAATTCTGGCATGACATTTGCCAAAGAAATCTCAGTCCAGTAAATGAATTGGGGCAAGTGACCTAAGGAGAAATGGGCGTGTAATGCTCAAAAGGCCTAGACACAAAGGAATAAGTTCATAGACTGGGACCCGTTGCTATTCATGGGAGACCCGTGTTTTTTTTAACTGATTTAAGTTCTCTGAGGCAGGGGCTGCTGGTAGCACTTGGTTTGAGCACTAAGAGTGTAGCTCAGGTATCAATAAGGACAATGGGAGGTTTATTCCCAGGGCACAGAGTAGTTTCTCCAAGCCAATTGATAGGGAGGACTAGGAAGACACCTGTGGTTCCTTGGAGCCCTGTGTTTGGGAATTAGGAAGACATGGAAAATGTTGGCTAAAGACCTGAAGGTGTGTTTGGCTCTTAAATTTGTAACTCTCTTTTTTCCAATGTCCAGAAACTCTGATCACTGGGGAAGAAATGGATTTAAACCTGGATAATAACCGAAGCCTTCCTTACTACTCTAAATGGTTCCCAAAGGGATCCCGTGTGGAGTTTCAAAACCGACCCTTGCTGTTTGCCCACTCCTCAGATTCTGTCAATTGTTGTGGTTGGAAACAACAGTGTCGACTTAATTAAGTGCTCCAGGTGATTCTCCCTGAGGCCAGAGTCAGTCGGCAAGGCTTCGCGTTAATTTATGAGACTTGAGTGCAGGCTTTTGCTCAAGGACAGGTAATGGAGTCTCGTCTACATGAGTGTGGGAGTATTAGGTCTGCGCAGCACACTGTTCCTATGCTGTAGCAGAATTTGTAGGTGTCTGTGGGAGTGGAAGCCACTGAAACTATACAAGGAAAACTCAGAGGTTGGGCTCCAAGTATGTAGTCTCCATTTCTCAAAAGTTCTGACACAAAAAACTAGCAAGTTTGGTCCTCCTGCATTTCAAGGTTCCGCCTGCCAGTGAGCACTTTTCTGGTGAAGATGTTCTGTTGGTGCCTTAAGGATATTTTCTCCTGATGCAGATGGATTTCTCCAGAAATACCTTCTGAAAAAGAAATCTAGAGGACGAGGGGAAGGAAGAAGAAATGGCCAGCTCTCAGGTAAGCCTGGTGTTCCAGGTCGAGGGTATGTCATCTTTTCCCCCCTAAAATTCCATGCATTTAGAAACCGCATCTGTTGATTTCTCTGTGTTTGGTGTTTCTGCCTTATGTTTTCACTAAAGCTTTACAACCTTCTCAGGAACAATACTCAAGGTTAGGTCTTTAGAACTCTTCTCCCCTATAACCGGCAGTCTTCTCTACATTCTCCAACCAGGCTTTCACTAGGACATCAACACTTGTCAGTTTAAATTAAAGTCCTGAAAGTATTTCAAACATTCCCTTTAGGACAGATCCAAAGGGGAAGTTGTTGAGTCCAAGATTCCTGTTGCTGATGGGGTCTGGTGGTGGGATTTCAGTCAAGGAGAACCGTTCCCCTTAGTTCCCTGTTTATCTGTCTGTAGAGCAGGATTAAGAAAATGAAAAATACAAGACCCCCAGTATCTTAGGAGTCCTCTTAAGCATATGGGAATCCTTCTGGAGACCTTCCTTTTGCCTTTCCCTCCCCTGGCTGCAGTGTCACTCTTCACAACCCCACTGTGGATCTTGGTGCCCACATGTCCTCTCTTTGTGTTATAATAAAATGACCTTTTTGGACCAAATATTAAATGCAAAAAAAAACAGAGAATGGATATGAGGCCTGAATAACTTGGAAAGTTAAAAAAGGGGGTAACAGTATGGTTTGTAAAATGTGAAAAAGATACTCTGTTTAAAATATACTAGACATACAGGACAGGGAAACAGCCATCTAAATGTGGTGCTTCTCCCATTCAGATGGGGGCTTCCAAATATGGGTCACTGATCCTGTGGAAGCCGAGGGCATGAGTGGTGAAAAGAATTCACCTCTAGCAGAATAAGACATTAGATTTTTGAATACACCTCAAGGGAGTGGTGGGAAGCACAGCAGAGGAGAGGCTTCTGCCTTGAGGCAGTGACTTGGGGCTGATTTTGCTGGGGGAAGATGAGTATGTATGGTGACTTATGTAATTTGCCCTCATGTGGTAATTCTGCCTGGGTGTAAGTACCCACTTGTTAGTTAGTTAGGGCCTCTACATATTTTGAGGCAGGTCACCTGCTGGGCCTGCCTCTCTTCAGCCAGGTGGGCCCTGTGGACTCCTCTACTACCTGGTGCTCAAGCCTGTTTGCCTCAAAGCAGCCTCTACTGAAAGTATATGTGATTGAAGTTTGTATAAATCCACTGTATTCTCTCATAATTTGACTATCAGATTCACTGTTTGGGGGCCAACAGAACACACCAGGGATCATGTGTCCTTTGGTGTGTCTTAGGCACTGATAGCAATTTGTTTCCTTACACTTCGTGTTCACTTAACTGGCCTGGTTCACTCTGCCAGATCTCTCCCTTATAACATTCATCCTTTTCCCCCCTATCTTTGCTAAGGCTCTTAGATTTACTGAGCAATGTGCAGAAGCCATCACATTTTAGCTGGAAACTTTATTCTTCTGGGTTTCTCTTTGCTTGTAGTTTCTGGTGAGGAGAACAAAGCCAAAACAAATGTAGCTTCCATTAAATTTCCTTACACCTACCTTGATGCCCATTGATGAAAGAATGTCATATTCTGCATGTCTCAAGTATTTAATAAAAATTAAACTTTGAGGAATGAAAGCAGTTATCATTTCCTTGAGGAAGGGCATATTCTGCATGTCTCAGGTGCCTATCATTGGCTGCAAGGTGTAAGGAAATTTAATTGATGCTACATTTCCCCGCTTGAACGAATTACAGCCTTACATCTTTAAGGTTGTTAAAGATGAAAGGTTTCCTCTTCAGTAGTTTCTTCCTGCTGAATCGGTTCCTACTGATGAGTGAAGGTTGGCCAGTTGAGAATTTAGTAGGAGTTAGAAAGGCAAGGCGGCTGTCTTTAGAGTTGATAACATGTGGGAGTTTCCTTGAGGAGAATGAATCATCTGTCCCCTTGAAGTTGTGTCACTGAAAGAGTCTCATCACCAGGTGGAGACAAAAAGAAAACAGCAAAACATGATAAAAGACAAAAACAAAAAAAAAATGCCAAAATAAAATTTTATTTTCCTCCACAGTCTTGTCACAGAAATACCCTTTTATTTACTGCCTTATATTTTCAGAAAATGAAAACAAGAATACAAAAGTTGAGAAATTTGTGTGTCTTAATCCTGAAATATAATAGAGTCATAGTGCAGCAGCTGGGGTTGTCACACACAGGAAGCTTGATTTCAGCCAATAAGGAGATCAGAGGGAATAACCTCCAAAGGAGAGACTCACAGAGTAAGGGGGGGTGGGGCGATGATTTCCTTTTATTTAAGATTCGAGTGGACAATTAGGAAGTGGAGCCTTGTCATTTACCTGAACTGGGCATAAGGTGGCACATGTACCTTAAGAGGACACTTCCATACATTTGCTGTGTGTTACATAAGGTTTGTTTTCCCCCTTGGGTGGAGATTTTGCTATTACAAGGAGGTCAAGGTAACTGTCCTCCCTGAGTTCACTTCATCATCCATCTGCATAGGGGTTAAGCTCAACGTGGCCTGCCCAAGCTCTTCCTTGGGGTGGTCCTTCCATTTTGTTGAATGTTTTTTGTTTCCATGACAGGAGACTGTGTCCACAGGGTGTTTTGCCAGAAGTAGAAGAAAGAGGTTAAGTAAAATGAGGGAGTATAGTCATTGGGTACAAGCAGGTAAGCGGTGAACGTCAGTTCTTATAGTCTAGTTGATGACATTCATTTCCCTTTCATCTTAGGTACCATTATGAACACTGCCAATGGCCACTGGATGACTGTTGTATTTATTTCAGGGACTCCTGACCTTCAGGGGTGTGGCCATAGAATTCTCTCAGGAGGAACGGAGATGCTTGAACCACAGTCAGCGGGAGCTGTACAGGGATGTGATGTTAGAGACCTATGGACACCTCCTCTTCTTGGGTGAGGATATCTCCTTCTAGATTTCCCAAACCCAGCTCGGGTTTTGTTCGTTCCTTTGAAGACTGTCTCTTGGAAGCTTCCCCTTTGTATGACTGGGATTCAGATCCCTGCAGCAAGGGAAGGAAATGGGGATTTGTAGATGCAGAGAAATATCTTCATGAGTTTTCCTTTTCAGCTTCAGCCTCCCTTTTTTAAGATGCCATTACCATGTCTGTAGATTGATGGCAATTCTAAACATTGAGTGGCAAAAGACGGTATGGCCCACATCTTAAACTCCAACTTTTACTGCTTATTGTATTGGTAGTATTTGGAAGGCTGGTCATGATGTGAATATTTGAAACTCCTCCTGCATGTTCTAAAGGGGCTCTTTCTTGCACAAGAGTGTTTGAGAAATCATTTGTTAGAATTCTTCAATGTCCTCTCTTGTCTGCTGAGTACAATACTGAGTTGAAAGGTAGAATCTCCAGCAGTATTTCTATTCCTTTCTTCTGATAAACAGGTCTCATTGTATCAAAACCAGACCTGGTCATCGTTTTGGAGCAAGAGGAGGAGCTGTGGGGTGTGAAGAGAAAGGAGACAGTAGCCTCACACTCAGGTAGGTGGGAGTGAAGCACATGACACAGGTGAGGTCCAAATGTGAAGGAGGAAGATAGATCTTAAAATGTTGTTCAGGTAGCTCTCCTTGAATGGAATTTCATTTGTGAAGCCTAGTTTGATGTCTTTCCCTCTCACAGAGGGACATCTGCTCTCTAACACATCATGCTCCTTGATTCTCCAAGGATTCTCCTTCAGCTCCAGTGAAGGTCCACCACATCCCCGGTGAGGACCTCCATAATCTGAGAGCTTCTCCATTGCTGTGAGAGCCCTTAGAGGATCTCTCTGTATTTCTGAGGAACTCTATGCTAAGCCATTTCTGAATTCTGTTTTGCTTCTTGTGACAAGTGTGTCAAGGTAGCAGTGGGCATATTGGGTATTGATGCAGAAATGTGGGGAACATTGGAGACAGAGATCACATGTTTTGTGGTTTATGCTTTCCAAAGTTCCAGAAGATTTTACCTTAATTGTACCCAATTGAAGCTCAGTAATTTCATGAGATCACAGAACACCTCCCTCAAATGAGAAAATCTAATCCTTTATTTCACACCAAAATTTCACTTGTCTTTGTATTAACCAACATTTGAAATTTCCACTCTGTGTGTTCCATTGCTCAATGATGAAATAATTTAACACATCTCTGTGTCTCCTAGCATGTTTGCATGTTAATGCCATAAAGCAGCTATAACATTTAGAAGTTAGATCTCACAGTCTATAATAGTCTCAATGGTTACCTTATTTCCTAGTAATTGCATCATTTTATACTTTTAGTAGGAAGTTCCTGTGACTTTTTCATAGGTGTTTGTACTTTCAAATAATTTGTATATGAGACACATCTCGAAATTTTTTGAATCAAAAGTTCTATATGATATGGGTATGTGCTGTATAAGAAATGAGGTAGAGGGTGCCTAAATGGCTCAGTCGATTGAGCATTGGACTTTGGCTCAGTTCATGACCTCACAGTTGGGGAATTAGAGCCTAGCATGGGGCTGTCTGCTGTCCGTGTGGAGCCTGCTCTTGATCACCTGTCCCTTCTCCCTTTGCCCCTCCTTTGCCTGTGTGCTCTCTCTCTCTCTCAATAATAAATAAACATTTAAAGAAGAAATTCCATATAAAAAAAGGATTGTTCACAAAAAAAAGGATTGTTCATAAATGTAATTTTACTTCAGAAAAAAATTAATCACAAGATTATTCTTCTACTTTCTCAGAATGTATCTGAATTTCATCCCAAATATTTATTTGTTTATAAAGTGATTGTCAGGATATTTTCCAACTTTGGCAGTGTTTGTTGATTTAGAAAGGAAAGTTTTGTGCTAGTCAGCTTGGTTCTAAACAATGGATTATACCCTTATACTCTGTGTAAGAGGAGGAATATATTAAGAAAATAATACATTTTAATGGGTTTTAAGTGCTTATTTGTAAAATTTTTCGTTAGAGCATTTTATGCTTGATATAAAAAAAAATACCTTTCCTGGTTTACTGTCAATGAAAACATGCCAACAATCCAAATGCTCCTCTTTCATGGGTACGTAGTCGCAGTTTAAAATTATAGTTATATGGTGGGTTTCCTTTGAAAGGCTTAATCTATTTTTTTAATGTAGACTGCAGTTAAATTTTGTCTTATTCTGGTTTTGCATTCTATAATAATGTACTTTCTTTTGTATGGAACTTTCCCCACGAGATGGATGTAGTTTCATTTACCTGTGTATCTTGTTACAGGATGACAATGTTCATCTAGTGCATTTTAAGACATTGTGAGTTTAAGTCAATTATGAATCAACCAGGCCCCTTACCAATAAATTTATGTATGTATTTCTTGGTATAAATATGACCCATACATACTTTGGGACTCATCTTCTTTCTTTCCTTGGTTAGTGGTCAGTAAATGTTTTATCATGTCTAGGTGAATTGTCATAATAATAGACAACTAATGTATTGGTGAGTCATCATAACAGATAATTAATTTCATCATGTATTTATTGGTGACTTTATATTCTTCTTGCATGACAGAATTACTTTTGTGCATTGGAAGTCGTTTTTCAACATTCTATAACTCCAGGGTGCCTGGGTGACTCAATCTGTTAAGGATCTGAGTCTTGATTTTGGCTTAGGTCATGAACTCAGGGTCATGAGATTGAGCCCATGTTAGGCTATGAGCTGAGAATGGAATGTCCTTGGGATGCTCTCTATCTCTCGTGCACACGCGCGCTTCCTCCCTCCCTCTCTCCTTCTGCCCTTCCCCTGCTCTCCCTCTCTCTCATGTATGTATGTGTGTATATTTACACACACACATATTCTGTACCTTTGTATCAAATTTAGATTTTTTTATCCTTATTTGTGGTCTTATACCCATGACGTGCTTTGGTACCATTCTCTTCAACTTTTCCATCTTCTGTAGTATATTCTCTGTGGTTTACATAGAGATTACATAAAACATCTTAAAGGTATACAACACATTTTATACTGATATTCTCAATTGCATACAAAATTATTCTACATATCACCTCCACCCCTGCACCTACCTTAAATTACTGATTCTACAATTTCTGTCTTTTAATATGTACTTACCTAGATTTATGATTTTTGTACTCTTTTTTTAAATTTGTTTATTTAGAGACAATCGGCAGGGAAAGGGCAGAGAGAGGTGGGGATAGAGGATCAGAAGTAGGCTCTGTGCTGACAAAACAGAACCTGATGTGGGGCTCAAACTCATAACCTGTGAGATCATGATCTGAGCTGAAGTCTGTTGCTTACCATACTGAACCACCCAGGCACCGCTCATTTTTTATACTGTCAGTGAAAAAGATACTGTAGCAGAAACTAAAGTGACTTGTGCTACCTCATTACAACATGACAGATTTGTGTATTTTTTATAAATTTTTAATGAGTTTTTATTTTTGAGACAAAGACAGAGATTGCAAATGGGGGAGAGGCAGAGACAGAGACACAGAATCCGAAGCAGACTCCACACTCTGTCAGCACAGAACCCAAAGTGGGGGTAAAACTCATGGACCTTGAGATCCTGACCTGAGCCAAAGTCAGTCACTTAACCAACTGAGTCGCCCAGGCTCCCCAATTATATAAATTTTTACATTTAGCAGAGGGCTTTATGTTCTCATGTGTTTTTAGTTATAGTTTAGAATCCTATTATTTCAACCTGAAGGACCTCCTTTAATGTTTCTTGTAGGAGAGGTCTACTTGGAAACTTAGAGGGGTTCTTACTTGGGAAAGTCTCCATTTCTACATTCATGAAAAACAGTTTGGCCAGGTAGGGTATTCTTAGTGGATATGTTTTGAACTTTCAATACCTGAATACATGGGTCCGTGCGCTTCTTCCTATAAGATCTGCTAATCATCCCACTAAGCTTACAGGAGCTCTCCTTGACGAGATGAGTGGCTTTTGCCATGCTGGTTCAAATTTCTCTTCTCGCCTGTGAGTTTTGATAGGTTAATTATAAGGTGTCACCGTGTTCACGTCTTGACATTTACCCTGCTATGAATTTACTGTGCTTGTTACATTTGTCTCTTCTTTCCACATATAAGACTTGAGCTCTTCATATCGATGCTCGGCCCCCTTTTCCCTCCCCTCTCCTAAGGGGTTCCCTTAATATACGTATTGGATCGCTTGTTGGTGTCCCATGAGTCCCTAGACCCTGTCCTTTGATTCTTAGCAGGTAATTGAACACAAGAGTACTTTAGGTTGTCTGATTCTTTCTTCTACTTGATCAAGTCTGTTGTTGGCCCCTTAGTGTATTTTTCAATTCAGCAATTGTACTCTTCATCTCCCAATTTCTTGTTCATTGTTGGTGATATGTTCTGTTTCCTTGGCTTTACATTTGGTCATGAATAGTTTTCCTGCTATCATTTAGTTACCTACCTATTTTTCTTCTTCCTCCATGAGCATCTTTATGACGGTTATTTTGAATTCCTTGTCAGTCAATTAATAGTACTTGATTAATTTAGGGCCACTTTTGGAGATGTATTTTGTTCCTCCAATTGGAACACAAAATCCTATATCTTTGTATCCTTTTATATCTTTGGTTGACATTTGGGAATTAAAAAGCAAAGAAACAAAAACCCGCAAAAACAATGAAAACAAAACAAAAAAGTGAAAATAACAGCCTCTGGGCCCAGGGTTATGGACTTGGTTTGTACAGAGGAACACAAAAATACAGTAATTCTAGGTACAGTGACACATGTTCTGGTCATTTGTCATGTCTGAATTTCTGTAACTGCTAAAGTTAAAAAGTGTCGTTACTCTTTGGAGACCGTGATAACTTCCACTCTTGTTCTTCAGCTCTGTAGTCTCTCCAGTGTTTGAACAAATGCTCACCTTTTGTCTGAGCACCTACCATAGTGTATCCAGAGGGTGCTCTCTTTCCTTCTGCTTCCCATGCCATGCATGACAGAAACAAGTCCCTCAAGACAGCAAAGAAACCAGATCGTTGAACATACATTTGTTTCTCTCCTCGACAGAGGGAAGACTTTTGTCACTGTGTTGTCATGGAGTGTCAGGGAGAGTGGGCATCTGTTGTAGGCAAGTGTCCTAAATGTTCTTTGCCTTTTCACTGTGGCTCTTCTTCCTTTGTACTTGTCTTGGTGTGCTGTATCCTCCTAATGGACTTCTGGAGCCCTCAAAAACTCCTTTGGTCTATTTGTGTCTCCAAGGAGGAGCAAAGTCCTGGTGCTTCCTATTTCTTCATTCTACTGATGTCCTATCATGGATATTACTTTTGCACATTAGCATACTTACATATATGCAATGTAGTAAGTGTGATGACTTCTTTTGTATCTTTTAGTTGTGTCTTCCCGTAACACCCTAGGCTTGTTGGTCGACACCAAGAAGAGTCCTTTGGTACAGTGATATGGGAAAAAGTAGACACTGTGGCCCTGAGTATTTAAACTGAAGGGATGATGGGGAAGGTGATGGGGTGTAGGGAAATGCTGAATGTTTATTATGATGGATATAACCAAACGGGCACAACTACTGGTAACGAAATGCTACTGCTAGAAGAGATCAAGGATAAAAAACCTTCTGGGGAAAACCTCACCTTAACTCATTATATTTGGAGAACAATGTCTTTGGAGCAAAAGTCAAAAATCCAGTTTTTAAAGATACATATTCTCTGGAAAGACATTTGGAAATTCTGAAAAGTCACCTAGCCCATACTGAAAGTATTCCAAATATAAAATTGGATTAACCACTCACTGAAACAATTCTGTGAGTTAGACATTTGAAAAGGGAGATAAAAATTCTAAATGTGGTTGATTTGAGAAGTCCTGCTTGGAGGTCTCATTATTCTTCTACCAACATGTAATCCCCCTGCTCCCAAGGCTCTGATTTTGATAAACACAGGAGGGTTTTATCCAAACATCACTGTTCAATAGTTACAATAC